TCAATTCTTCGCCGAGGTGGTTGGACAGATACACTAGCAGAGGCATTTTGTACGAGCACGAAAGCAGCATTCACCATTTGACGGTATTGGGAAATTGTANCGCTTCTTAAGGCTCCAAAGCCTCTGAGAGCTCGCAGTGATTGCTCCCGGGCTTGGATGAACGCGATGTCATTGGGTTTTAATGATCAAACTATTAAAACGTACATCGATACGATGTTTTTAAGAGCAGCGAAAAGTCCTCTGGATAAAGCAAGACCACCCATATATACATTTGTTCAATTAGACGTGGCCCATTTTATGAAAAAAATATATGAAAAAAAAGCTGTTCGTTTATTGAATGGAAATATTCGGCCTGCTATTCCTATCAACGGGATTCATTATTTGGTACTTAACACCTGCCCTTTTGACACAATCATACAAATATTGGCAGCAAGTGGCATGGATAATTCGGCGTATGAAGCTTTCATTGATGTGTCTTCGTCTTTTTCTCCCGCAATGAAATTTATTCAATATTTCATGAAGAATGGTGTCTGTGTAGACACATATCGTGAACGAACGAGATTGATAATTAATACATTTCCGGATAAAATGAAATTGCCCGACAATAACACGAAGGCTGACAAATTGTATCGTCATATNAAGCTGTTCTTTTATTGAATGGAAATATTCGGCCTGCTATTCCTATCAACGGGATTCATTATTTGGTACTTAACACCTGCCCTTTTGACACAATCATACAAATATTGGCAGCAAGTGGCATGGATAATTCGGCGTATGAAGCTTTCATTGATGTGTCTTCGTCTTTTTCTCCCGCAATGAAATTTATTCAATATTTCATGAAGAATGGTGTCTGTGTAGACACATATCGTGAACGAACGAGATTGATAATTAATACATTTCCGGATAAAATGAAATTGCCCGACAATAACACGAAGGCTGACAAATTGTATCCTCATACGGTTGATATGTACACAGGGACTGCTGATGTCTGGACAAAGTGTTTTGAATCCACACCAAGTGGCTACAATAGCTACAACTGTGAAAAATGTGGTCTGTACTCGACTCCTCAAAGCACAGTGTGGCTGAATTTAAAATTGATCTGGGAGCATGGCTTTAATCATTTACAAGATGCCATACCATCCGATTGGAAATCAACCCAATGCATAAAGTGTCACTCTCAGTGCACCCTCAAACAGAAATATACAAATCATCTCTTCATCGAAGCAGACGCTCGACCGGGACCAAGTGACAAGCCAGCGAAACACATGTTAAGCGACTTCCCGAGAACAATCACACTCAATTGTTCTATATACAGGTAAGCAGAATACCTGAAACGAATTTACCAGGTACTTATATAAATTATAAACGATTCACAACGCCCAACTTACCAGGTTGCGAGGAGTAATTGGCCATCAACCAGGCAGTGCGAAAAATTCGCATTTTATAGCATACTGTTAAAGGTCTCGTTGGAGGAGTACAACGATATATTATCTTCAATCACCATAGTCCAACCATCTAAGCAAATCATCCCGAACGCAGCTATCTACAGAACACCCATACATATGTAATAACTTTTTAGCAAATATGGATATGTTTGAACGTTTTTGTTTTTTCTTTTTCATATCAAAATCTACCAAATCTGGAAAATATCTACCAATAACTTTTTTTAGCTATTTTAATAAAAACTGCACTTTTTCTCTACTTTTTTCGTTACTTCAATAAAATTAAAATTTTTTATTAAGGAACTTTTTATTTAACTAATGATGTGGTATTTGAGATCATATTAATGGCATATTCTCGGTTTCCTTCAACCAAAAGCGAAAATGATGAAACTTAAGGCAACAGCGAAACTTCATCATTTCAAAAAACTTCAATTGGAGTTATTATAGACAAATAGAGTGACTCAAAAATCAGCTTGGTGATTTTTTTTATATTCACAATGTTTTTCCCGTTGATTTTTTTTTAATTTTTTTGCCGCCGGTCTTTTTTTGTTTTTTTTTTTATAAAAACTGGAAAGAAATTTATAAAATAAAGGTATTTATCCAGAAAAATAAAGCGCGAGAACAAAAAGTTGTATTTGTTTTTCAAAGAAAATACTTTAACAAAAATCTACCAAAATGGAATTTCGAAAATTGAATAAAAAGAGAACGGTTAATGACCAAACGATGAAAATAAGTGACCAATCCTCACAGATTTATGACCAATCGATTGCATATAGTTTTTTTTCTTAAATTCTTGGATGGGGTGCTAGCACATCAAATTATCAACCCTTAATTTGAAAATTGAATAAAAAGAGAACGGTTAATGACCAAAAGATGAAAATAAGTGGCCAATCCTCACAGATTGATGACCAATCGATTGCA